TATATTGATTTCAATATTTCACGCACTTCTCCACAACATGGCCTAATTTGCTGTGCACTCTCTGAGACAAAACTTCATTGTAACAACATTCTCCCTGAAGCAAACAAAAACTACAACTCTAATTTGTCTCCTCTCTCCACCCCCTCACCCCTCCCTCATCCGCATCCCCAGCATGGCCCCCGACCGTCTCCGGTTCCCCATGCACCACCCAAACTTCCAGTTCGGAATGTTCCCGGGCGTCCAGCAACACCTGATCCCTCCCCACCCCACCGTCACCTTGGCACACCAAGCCCAACACATGCCCAGAATGCAGGCCCCGCCCATTGCCCCAGCCACGCCCCAAGCCCCGCCCACCCCCGCCTTGACGTTCTCACAGGAAGAGCTAGACATGGTTCTCTACGGCTACACCAGGGGGCGCTCCTCTGACAGGTACCACGGACACGCCCTCTCAGGCCTCAAGTTTGGGGAACTGAGTCATGGTGAGTGACCTGAGATTTCAAGTCATTGTCCCTGTCTACGTCATTGTCTCTGTCCATGATCTGTCTACGTCATTGTCCCTGTCTACGTCATTGTCCCTGTCTACGTCATTGTCCCTGTCTACGTCATTGTCACTGTCTACATCATTGTCACTGTCTACATCATTGTCACTGTCTACATCATTGTCACTGTCTACATCATTGTCACTGTCTACATCATTGTCACTGTCCATGATCTGTCTACGTCATTGTCCCTGTCTACGTCATTTCCCTGTCTTCCTCATTGTCCCTGTCTACGTCATTGTTCATTTTCCCTGTCTGTCCGTCTGTCTACGTCATTGTCCCTGTCTGTCTGTCTACATCATTGTGCCTGTCTACGTCATTGTCCTTGTCTACGTCATTGTCCCTATCTACGTCATTGTCCCTGTCTGTCTTTCTACACCATTGTCCCTGTCTGTCTTTCTACACCATTATCCATGTCCGTCTGTCTACTTTTCTGTCCAACCCTCCCTCCATCTCAGCCTCAACTCTCTAAGATAAGGTAGATAAGATAAATCTTCATTGTCCAGATCTGGACACATTGGTTTGTTTCACCACGTGCACACATACACGCACACAAACATTCATACACACGCTGGCTTACAGCCACAGGCACAATATAAATGAAAAATAATAAACAATAATAATGTTAAAAACTAGAACACACCCAGTCGCCACCGAGCAGCGCCCAATAATACTCAACTTCTTTCTACACTCCCCCCCCTCTC